GTCTTTGAAGGAGTTCTTGCTCTGATCGTTCTATCTTTTGCCAGATTCTGCTGGCCAGGGTGTGCAGCTGCTGGTTGATGGGTTTCATTCTCAGGTCTCTATGTATCTCGGCTGTGGTTCTGGTGAAAGGGTATCTTTCACATCTGACGAATCTTAGGGCTTCATTTTGAACCACCTGTAATTTTAATATTTGAGTGGCGCTCATAGTATGAAGAGGTATTGCTGGGTAAGTTAATATCGGTGTGATAAATGATGTCACTAGGCGGAGTTTTATTTTCTCAGGAAGCGCTTTAAAGCTGTATAGTTTTCTCAGCTCTCTTCTTGCTTTTCCATCCTGGTGTGGACATGATGGGAGTAACCTGTCGTGGATATATATGCAGGCCCAGGAGGGTGCCTCTGCTTTTGTATTCTATCTGGGCATTATTGGTTACTAATGGATGGGTTTTCCTTCTGCATAAGGGTATCACTGTGAATTTCGGGAGACTGGTTAGGATTTTCCATTGTTTTTCGTAATTATTTACCCTTTCTAATTCCCGCCTGGTGTTGTCGGCCTGTAGCGCTCGCGATTTTCCTTGATGTGTTGTTATTTGAGTGATGTCATCTGCATACATAATTTCTTCGTTACCAATTCTAGTGGGAGGCGGAGTGTCACTTGTGTAGATAATATTTAGGGTGGGGGAGAGGACGCTACCCTGAGGGACTCCACTCATGAGTGGGAAGGTCTCTCCTGTGTGTTGTCCTACCCTCAGTCTGGCATTCGTGCCGTCAAGAAAGTTGCAAAGCAACTTTTCAATGTTGGTGGGAAGTCCAAGTTGGAGGATCTAGTTGTGTGGTTCAGCTGGGTGGCCTGTGGGATGGTGGGGGTGGGTGGACGGTGGGGGTGGGCAGGGCTACGATTACAAGCCGTGGCAATGAGGGGAGCTGCTTGGCGGGCCTACAGCTCACTTCGTAGACACAGATTCACCAGCAAATTGATAAATATATCTACTTAGGGGAATCACAGATAGATATTGTACTGGTCACGACACTCACTACACAGCCAATTTTTGGTGACCTCTCACCTGATCAGGTGCGCCAACGCCAACTTGAAAACCCACAGTGGGGGACCCTTCATTGGTTTCCTTAAAGGTGGTCTGTTCCCCAAGAAGGTAAACAAAGCTTCACTTTGTGTCTTCAGTCATTAAAACAGAGTATTTTATCTTGTTACTATAAGACATGATGATGAACAACCCACGGAAATCGTAGTCGTCCCCACATCCTTAGAAAACGCGGCTCGAGAAGCAGCTCACTCCTCCCAATTCTCAGCCCACCCGGGTGAATGTCGAACATTGCACGTGCACGTTCTATGTTTTTCATGCCTAATTTAGCGCGGAGAGTTGGGACGTTTGTCAAAGGATGTCTGCCATGTCAGTTAAGGAAGGGTACCCCAAAGAGACAGGGAGAGCTGCAGGAGTTCCCACCAGCCTCCCAACCCTTGGAACGGATATCGATCGATCTAACTGACATGACAACAAGCTCACATCGAGGAAATAGATACGTGGTTTCAATCGCCGATCACTATTCACGCTTTGCAACCTATATAACCATCCCTGATTAATGCGCGGAGACGGTTTGTGAAGTTCTGTTACAATACACTGGTAATCATGGGTGTCCCCGGGTCATCGTCAGTGATCGAGGGACAGAGTTTACCTCTAGCATCTTCCAGAAGGCATGCGACTTGCTGCGGGCTAAGTCAAATCTCACCACTAGTTACCACCCACAGGCTAATGCCATGGTTGAGCGTTCCCACCGCACGTTGAAAGATCACTTGTCGTTTTTGGTTAATAATCAGGGCGGCGGTTGGGACGATCTGCTACCTCTTGCACAACTGCCCATGAACACTGCAATTAATACTACCCTGCATAACACTCCTTATTTTCTTCACTTTGGAAGGGACCCTAATCTCCCCTCATGTGTCATCAATCCCCCACCCCTGTTCAATGACGAGAACTATCCTTCTATCTTGCCTTTACTCGGGTCCAGGAACTAAACAGGAAAGGCCACTTACACAACGCTACCTACTAAAGAATCTCCCTCCTCCAACACCCCTTCTAAGTTGCATATAGAGTACCGCCCAATCCGTCAAGGTTAACTTTCCTATTTCCCCGCTTTACCAGATGGGACGTAGGAAACTGTGTATGTAAATAGATTGAAACTGGCAACTGTCGACGATGACGTCTTAAACAAATTAGGCCCAACAAACCAACCCCCTCTAGAAGTAACCTTCCCTTCCCAACACCCTATTTCTCTACCAGCGGCTGACCATCTCCCTCAGAAAAATTAGGTGCTCACACTCCAAGTAATAACCAGAGAGTTGCCCAAACCACTACCGCGCCTGTCCCAGTAATACCTGATCAGATTAGTGCTCATAGATATAAGACCAGATCACAGAACATAGATTAAGATAACAAGTTACGAGTGGCACTTCTAAAAGTCGAATCGTATCCCAGTTTCATGGCTCTCAGTACCGCCCTTGCTCTCCGCGAACCTGGATGAGGTTTTCCTGACTGCACACAATTCGGCGGCTATCTTTACAGTGGAAATGGCACCACTCCGACTGCAGCTGAACCCCTACAAGATGAGCTGAGGCCAACTCATCCGTAGTCAATAATGGATGCCCGACGCGGGCGGGACACACAGCGGTCAACCTCGCGGCGGATATGGTTAACACCTCAAAACCACCAGCACCAGGTGAAACGGGTCTTGCTCAATGCTGGCCCTCGATCCAGTTGCCGACACTGTGAAACGTCTCATCACTCGCTTGCAGGACGATGAGACACGCACCGAGGCTATGGTCTCACAACCCACAATACTGACCGGCAGCGGCTACTTTTACATAGCAACACCCACTACCATCATCCTGAACAAACTACGCCACGCCAGACCAGCGCAGCAACTAGCTCTAGGCAGGAAATCAGGTCGTTCCCTTAGAACCCGGGTGTGAGTTTCGGAACCCCGACCTGCGAACTGCAGTGGCAGCAAGCAGCAAGAGGTGCAAGTGGCGACGCAGACGACAGCTCCCTACGTTCCAGGACCTGTCAACTGGCCCTACTCACTTCCACACCTGGAATGGAACCACCAGGTACCAGACAAGTAATGGCAGATCACGGCCCTTCCCGAGATCCTCCTCTCAATCAGCACCGTCGCTCCTGTGTTCACCATTGGCCTGACTACAAGTGGAGGAAGAAACAAACCCTGGTGAGCCCATCCAGGGAGGGATTCCCCACTGTAAGGGTATGGGACAGGGCAGTCAAGGGTCTCGCCGACATTCGTGGACAGAGGGCGAACCTAGGTACGCGTATCCTGCCCTACACGCCAGATGGAGAGGGAAAAACCCATCTGGAATACGTCGGGAACTGACGCTCTGTACATAGAGGAAATTCACGTGGAGGAAATAAAGCACGCAACAAACACTAAGGCAAACTACCGGACAGGACTGGAAACGTCAACAACTGCATCTGCTGCGCCAGCCACCCTGGTGCCGGCCTTGACTGATGGAGGTGGACCAGGCACTACCCTGAACCTCGAAAAATACTGACCACGAGTATTTTTTTGTTATTGAAGCTTGTTAATAACATCTGCTGCTCTTTTAGTATGTACAAATAATCTTTTTCTTTGTTCACAAGTTGTATCTAACCCTTACCACCCCCCCCCCCTTCACGTAGGCCATGTATCCCATATTGTATATATTGTGTGAGCTGCCCTGAGCAAGAGTATAGCCTTCGAAGCAACACGTATTTAATCTGTTCCAAGCTTGTTCCAAGCTTCACAGAGATGCTAACTTTAGGGAAAGCTAAGCAAGGATAAGCTAGGGCAAGAAGCACCATTACATAACCCTTCAAGACTCCAACGGTGTGCTCTCATCTACCTTCCTCTAGTTATGCTCTCCTGCAAGAACCTGCTTGGGCACTGTCATTCCTCCTCATATCTCCATTCATCTTTTCTTTTCCGTATCATTAGTTAGCCGCTTAAAATATGCAAACATTATTAGAGTATGGTAGGATGTGAAGTGCATATTTTTGACCTCGGTAGCTATTTCTTCAGGTTGGGCACTTGCAACTGTCACTCACTGTGAGCCTCGGCTGCTCATGACATGGAAGCTTTGGTCTTCTCGGGAGGTATAATGTTTATCAGACCAAAGCATCCAAGCCAGTAAAATAGCTTACACATAGCAGTAACTTGAGGAGCAGGTATACACCCACGTAAGTTGAGCCTCTCTACGGTAATTAAAGTGAGATGAACACCTGACCCAACAAAGGTCATGGTGAGGAAGGAAAAAAAAGTTCTCGCCAGCCCATGATGAGAGAACCGGCGACATTAGCGTGTCAATTCAAGAAATTGCCCTCCAGCCAGTACACCGACACCTGACCAAACACACCTGGCCAGACACACCTGACCAAACACACCTGGCCAGACACACCTGGCCAGACACACCCAGGGTCGTAATAATTAAGAAGCATTACCGACCGGCACACCACGATAAGTGACATGACCGCACACTTGATCAAGCACACAGGTCTAAACATTCTCATATTAGTGATAATTAGGAGACGATAAGCACACGGAAAGAGTGCCCTGAAACCTCCAATAAAAGAAGGCAAACAGAGGCAGAGAGGGCCAGTCATAACGGTGAAGGGACCAGCAACACTCACTCCCCAGTCCCGCCCGTCTCCCCCGTTGAGGTCAGTGTCTCGTCTCACCAGCTGCATCGAGATTACCGACAATAAATGCAATGAGGTCTCAACCTAGTCCATCGACGGCGTGCCATCTACTCATCTCGTCCGTCAAAGTAAGCGTTGGCTGTGTAGCCGGTAGTAGTGCGATGATCCTGCGACCAGCTTTTCTTACTCTACTATAAATTCTTAATTTATCTTCAGATGAGATTTCCCTCATTATAGTGACGTATCCACCTCTAATACACTATTGTTGTTGTTCCTGAACACCGCTATATCCACCACTAGTACACTTTCGTCATGCGGTAACTCAGTTGCCTGTCTCATCTGGGAGGACTTCCTGAAGGAGAGGCCCTACTTCAGCAGATTGAGTGATGCTGGCGCTACTAACGTCATCAAACTCCTCTGTGAGTATTGTCTTCTACCAAGGTTTGTTTATGTTCCTTGCTACATCTCGTCTAACATATTGGTCATTTTCATCTAGGATTTTTTTCTTCAGCATTGTAACATCTACATGTACAATGAATCGATCGTTACAAAACTTTTATAACAGTTGAGGTTCATTGCTTGTTAGGAATTGATAAATTATGGTTAAAAGGAAGAAAAGAAAGATCGAAGATCAAATATAAGTGTCACTAAATTCTGCTTTTCACAATTATAAATCAGTTATGCAAACATTCTCTATTCATATTAATAATTTAATACAAGTGCATACCCGTATTCTTAAATCCTAATCAATCTCTTTCATTTCCATTTATCCATCATACACTAAAACAGTATAGGCTACTCCAAGCACCACAAAACCCAGTGACACCCGCACCTCCACTACCCCCCAATCCCGTCACACACGCATTGTTGTCATTAGATAAATGAATCTCTGCCTGTTACTTCGAATTTCCTATTCTGACATTCACTTGCATAACATATGTGAGTGAGTGTCTGACGTGGAAATGTCCGAGTCTATACAATCACATATCAAAGAAAAGACGAGTATATACAAATAAATTGATTTAAAATTACATATTAAGTTTACAATAAATAAGATAGAATAAGCAGACTCTTTTAATTTATAGAAAACTAGCAGAATCGCCGCCCTCTGGGCGGCTCATCCACTAGGCCACAGTAGAACGCCACCCTCCGAGACGCTCCACATTGTCTCACTGTTCAGTTCCCAAAACTTCTTCTTCCATCAATAGTTCATTAACGGTGTATGTAAGTTCCACCATGTTTTTCACTACAACGGTACAGCAAAGTATATTTTTTTAGCATTAAACTGTTATTATTTTATTGTCTAATCATCACTACATATAATACCATCCATCATTACTACATATAAAACCATCCATCATCACTACATATAACACCATCCATCATCACTGCATATAACACCATCCATCACCACTACATATAACACCACCCACCATCACTATATATAACATCATCGATCATCACTACATATAACACCACCCACCATCACTACATATAACATCATCCATCACCACTACATATAACACCACCCACCATCACTATATATAACATCATCCATCATCACTACATATAACACCACCCACCATCACTACATATAACAACATCCATCATCACTACATATAACACCATCCATCACCACTACATATACCACCCATCATCACTACATATAACACCATACATCATCACTACATATAACAACATCCATCATCACTACATATAACACCATCCATCACCACTACATATAACACCACCCATCATCACTACATATAACACCATCCATCATCACTACATATAACAACATCCATCATCACTACATATAACACCACCCATCACCACTACATATAACAACATCCATCATCACTACATATAACACCACCCATCATCACTACATATAACAACATCCATCATCACTACATATAACAACATCCATCATCACTACATATAACAACATCCATCATCACTACATATAACAACATCCATTATCACTACATATAACAACATCCATCATCACTACATATAATACCACCCATCATCACTACATATAACAACATCCATCATCACCACATATAATAACATCCATCATCACTACATATAACAACATTCATCATCACTACATATAATACCACCCATCATCACTACATATAATAACATCCATTATCACTACATATAACACCACCCATCATCACTACACTTAACAACATCCATCATCACTACACATAACACCATCCATCATCACTAAATATAACACCACCCACCAACACTATATATAACATCATCCATCATCACTACATATAAAACCACCCACCATCACTACATATAATAACATCCATCATCACTACATATAACAACATTCATCATCACAACATATAATACCACCCATCATCACTACATATAATAACATCCATCATCACTACATATAACACCACCTATCATCAATACATATAACATCATCCATCATCACTACATATAACAACATCCATCATCACTACATATAACAACATCCATTATCACTACATATAATAACATCCATCATCACTACATGTAACACCACCCATCATCACTACATATAACACCATCCATCATCACTACATATAACAACAGCCATCATCACTACATATAACACCACCCATTATCACTACATATAACAACATCAATCATCACTACATATAACACCACCCATCATCACTACATATAACAACATCCATCATCACTACATATAACACCACCCATCATCACTACATATAACAACATCCATCATCACTACATATAACAACATCCATCATCACTACATATAACACCATCCATCATATAACACTACATATAACAACATCATCACTACATCACTCATCATCACTACATATAACACCACCCATCATCACTACATATAACACCATCCATCATCACTACATATAACACCACCATCATCACTACATAACACCACCCATCATCACTACATATATCACCACCCATCATCACTACATATAACACCATCCATCATCACTACATATAACACATCCATCATCACTACATATAACACCACCCATCATCACTACATATAACAACATCCATCATCACTACATATAACACCACCTATCATCACTACATATATCACCACCCATCATCACTACATATAACACCATCCATCATCACTACATATATCACCACCCATCATCACTCATCACTACATATATCACCACCCATCATCACTACATATAACAGCACCTATCATCACTACATATATCACCACCGATCATCACTACATATATCACCACCCATCATCACTACATATAACAACATCCATCATCACTACATATATCACCACCCATCATCACTACATATAACAACATCCATCATCACTACATATATCACCACCCATCATCACTACATATCACACCACCTATCATCACTACATATATCACCACCCATCATCACTACATATAACACCACCTATCATCACTACATATATCACCACCCATCATCACTACATATAACACCACCTATCATCACTACATATATCACCACCCATCATCACTACATAAAACATCATCCATCATCACTACATATATCACCACCCATCATCACTACATATAACAACATCCATCATCACTACATATAACACCACCCATCATTACTACATATAACATCATCCATCATCACTACATATCTCACCACCCATCATCACTACATATAACACCATCCATCATCACTACATATAACACCATCCATCACCACTACATATAACACCACCCATTACCACTACATATAACAACATCCATTATCACTACATATAACACCACCCATCATCACTACATATAACAACATCCATCATCACTACATATAATACCACCCATCATCACTACATATAACAACATCCATCATCACTACATATAATAACATCCATCATCACTACATATAACAACATTTATCATCACTACATATAACACCACCCATCATCACTTCACATAACAACATCCATCATCACTACATATAACACCATCCATCATCACTACATATAACAACATCCATTATCACTACATATAATAACATCCATCATCACTACATATAACACCACCCGTTATCACTACATATAACACCATCCATCATCACTACATATAACAACATCCATCATCACTACATATAACACCACCCATCATCACTACATATAACAGCATCCATCATCACTACATATAACACCACCCATCATCACTACATATAACAACATCCATCATCACTACATATAACACCACCCATCATCACTACATATAACAACATCCATCATCATATCATCATCTACATATATCACCACCCATCATCACTACATATAAACATCATCCATCATCACTACATATATCACCAATCATCACTACATATAACAACATCCATCATCACTACATATAACACCATCCCATCACTACATCATCATCCATCATCACTACATATATCACCATCCATCATCACTACATATAACAACATCCATCATCACTACATATATCATCACTACATCCATCATCATCACTACATATAACAACATCCATCATCACTACATATAGCACCACCCATCATCACTACATATAACAACATCCATCATCACTACATATAACACCACTTATCATCACTACATATATCACCACCCATCATCACTACATATAACAACATCCATCATCACTACATATAACAACATCCATCATCACTACATATATCACCATCCATCATCACTACATATATCACCATCCATCATCACTACATATAACAACATCCATCATCACTACATATAACAACATCCATCATCACTACATATATCACCACCCATCATCACTACATATAACAACATCCATCATCACTACATATAACACCACCCATCATCACTACATATATCACCACCCATCATCACTACATATAACAACATCCATCATCACTACATATCACACCACCCATCATCACTACATATATCACCACCCATCATCACTACATATAACAACATCCATCATCACTACACATCGGTAAAGTAGTTTCCGAGATTCTCGTGTGGACACACACACAACCAAACACACATACCTCTTTGTTTTACATAGATAGATTAAAATATACTCTACGTCAGGAGGATCAGTATTAACATTTAAAATTTTCAGCTTTTCTAGCCGGTGTGGCAGCCATATGTATTGGTCTGTTATTGGAGAACATGGGCAGCATCCTTTACGTATATAACAGCATTATTTCAGCGGTGACTGGTCCCCTTGTTGGCATTTATCTTACTGGTATCTGTGCACCATGGGTCAACTGGAAGGTAAAAATAACCTGGTAAAGTTAGTCTCTTCCTTCACGGTAATAAAAAATAATGAGTAAATTAATACAATTTTATTCAAATTAATTTGACTGTTCTGGTTATGCATGATAATGCTCATTCTCTGTTAGTTACTAATCTTTATTGCAGGGGGCCGTGACTGGATTCACTGTGGCGTTTGGGTTCAATATCTGGCTAGTTACTGGGAAGTTTTTGACCGTCGGAGGAACCCCAACTCTAATGCCATTGTCCACCGTGGGGTGCCAGGACAACCTTGCCAACGCCACCATCGGCAGCCTTATTAACAACACCACATTGACTGACATTGCGTTGATGACCACAGCCTTACCTGACGTTGTTCTCGCCAACATCACTGTTGACCAGATGTTAGTTGCACCAAACTTAAGTTTCAATAATGCCCACCGTATAAATCATATTTAATCCTGTATGCCCATCTGCTTCTTCTGTGTCCGATACAACGATGATATTGAAGTACTCGGTAAAAAAAGGGGAGGGGAGTTATGAAGGGTGTTTTCTGAGTGTCCATAAAGGCAAACCCTTTTAAGGGTTGATTACCCATAAACCCTTGCAGATATAAAGGTTATATTATCATTTTCAAAACCTAAATTTAACAATGTGTATCTTATCATTCTCATAATTCTTACTCAACAAAGAGTATACAACCATCTTCCAAACCTTTAGCATGCCAAAATTTTTCAAGCTTTCCAAGACTTTATCAGACAAAGGGTACGTCAGTACATTTAAAACCTTCAAGTTACAAAAGGGTTTATCAAGATTAAGAGAAGTCATTTGAAAATAACTCGGCACTGATATTCTTCACATTAGCGTTTGTATTGTCCAAGGCGGTCCTCACACGTTTAGATGGTTTACCGTGGGTGCTGTAAAAAGCAGTACTGTAAACACTATAAGTTTTGTAAATGTACACAACTGAGTATGACGTGGTGCTTGTCTTATGAGACCCCTGACCGCTGGCTGCACATTTACCACATCACTTTTCGACTTAACAATAGTAATTTTCTACAAAGAAATATCATGGTTTTCCTTTCCAGCAAGTCCTCGCTATTCACAACACTATCACTCTGACGATCTTAATGTCACTTAAGATTTTTTTTGTTTTTTGTTTTTCGCACGGCAAAGAAATAGATTCCGCAGCAGGGTCAGCATGGCGCCCATTAGGGTGCTTGGCATATTCTAAACCGAAGGTATTTTGAAAATCTTCCCTTATCGCATTTATCTTTCTTTCCCGTCTTACTTCATTATCTCTCATCCTCGTGGCGTACACGTGTACCGTAGTTATTTAGTTTAATTATGATCATTAAGATTGGAAGTTACGTGTTAAATTTAGTCATCAAATTACTACTATCTTACTTTTACCATTTCTTCTCCACACATCGTTATGGTTATACTCTGCGAAGATGACTCAAGTAACGCATGCAATTAATCAGAAAGAATTTTCAATCCAAACTATTTTTTACTGCTCATTACTTCACAAAGAAATTTAAGAAAAACAGAACACAGTATATGTTATGTCATCAAAACTCATTGTGGGATGGAAGTGGTATCTGTCAACTTTAATTGATAATTATGCCACATGTCGCAATAAAACTAATTGTATTCTAATAAAATACGATTTAGATCTTTTAAAGGAAAATTTATGGGTATTGATGTTTGAGTACATAACTAGTATTATATTCCAAGTATTTCACAAAGAATGAATCGAAGAAATCTGGAGACAGAAAGAGATACTTGCAGACGAGAATGTTAGAACCTGTAGTAACATAAAGATATTACCTACAGTAAGACACTCTATCATGACCGAAAAAAGGATATTTTACAAACGATGGAGTATCATGCAGTAAATATATCCCCTTTTGCCTAAAATACTATTTTTTGCCCAACATTTTTTTACAGTGTAGATACTATCAAGAAGTAGTCTTGACACACACACTGACAATAACACTTTCTAACCCACATAAACACTTTATTATGTGGAAAACCTTTCAAGGTGAGACAGTCTACTAGTTTACTGTACGTACCTCACCTAAGTACAGTTTACTTTGCAATAATATACATCAACAATATTTGGTACACTGTTGATCATTTGTACAACTTTAGATATTTTATATATTTTTTCTCTGGTGGTGGAGGCTATGGGGGGGGGGGTTGTGTAGTAGCCTATGAGTTTCCTCTGCTGGTTTATTAAGTCACAAGGTGTATTTCATCCCTTGTCCAGTGCTGTTTTTCTCTCTCTGTTAGCAGTCCCATATTAAATCATTTCTATGTTTGCCTTGATGTTTTGACTAACTGCTATAATCCCACTGGAAGCTCATAGTTAGTGATCAAATTAAATGTTGTATAAGCGTCGTCATAGACTGCCATGGTGGGAAAGGGACACCAGTAGGCAGCATATTAGAATATATGTCGATTACAATTATTCATTACAATTACATTTTCTCTAAAGGTATGAACCCAAAACCATCTACGACATATCCTACTGCTACGCCGGCCCTACTGGTGTTGCGATAACACTTGTCGTTAGCACCTTCGTCTCACTTTTTACAGGTAAGAATTTTTTCATGCCCGCCACTGTAGATGTTCCTGGTCACTAGACCCGAATTCAGAATGGTGGTTTGAGCCTGGGATTTGAGCTCTGCTCAGGCTTGCAAATCGGAATTCCTCGATCCGAGATTTCCTGCAGTGGATTATCCATATTCAGAACATCAGCTTGAACCCCGGATCGGGTAATCTGTTGCATTTTCTTCAATTACGAGCAAGGATTTGAACACTGAAATTCCAGCGAATCACGCTTCGGTTACACCATGATGACAACCAATCACCATCGGGAGTAGTAATGTTTACAAGATTATAGCGGCAACTATGACTCGATGAGCTTTCACGGAGGAGAAGAAATCTCTCCTTGCGCATCAAAAGTTACTTTTATTACTATAATTACAATTGAATTATGATCAAATTATAATGATTATGGTACTGTGTTACAACGTGGCTGTGTTGTTATATGATAACAAAGAATTTCATAGAGGAAGAACAATTACATACAAATTGTAGATATAATCCGGGACAGGTGTCATTATTCATAACCAAAGCACGATGAATCAATGGAAGGCATAGTGATCTCGCTAGGTTCGGTTTGGTTAGTAATGTTAAAAAAAGACATTCCTTTATTAATACGTTAAAGTAAAAATGCACTCAACATTGATTCAATTATATTAAAAATACATCACAATAGTTTTCCCCAAAGAAAAACACTCAAAATAAAGAAGCGTCAGCGTTCTTTACATTTACCTGCTGGATCTTCATGGATCCTAAACACGAAAGTGTGACAACACATTACCATAAATTAATCAGTAACCAGAATCTTTCTTACACGGAAACTATTCGTTGCTAAGAATCTCAAAGCAATCATCAGCTGATGAATGGGAGGTAGAGGTGAACCATAGCCAACAGGTCTGTCAAGTAGATGCTCCATATCACAGAAAATATCAAGGAAATCTCCCTTGCTGAACCTATATCGTTGTTTAAATTGCGTGTCATCATAAAAATTTATAGGATTCTGCCTAACTACCATCAGTCTTCTCTCTACAAAATTTCCAATTTGACGATATCACCGAAAAGCGCGATCTCTGTCAAACCGCCAAACCTGCATCCAGGCTAGATTAACGCCAGGATCGAAAATTCCGATCTCAAACCCGATTTGAATGTTTGTGTTGGCTCAAGCCAGCGTTCTGAATACCAGCAATCTTCAATCTTTGTTCGTTCCTTGGTTTAAACCTGCATGCAGTTTCAAACCAGTTTTTTTAATTCAGGCCTAAGATGACCACCTCGACACAGCTTCTATATTGTATCATCAATTACTGGTCACCACTCTGAGTTTAATATTTCCTTCCCCCAAATAAAAAAGACTGTTTCATTATCACTACTAGTATGATTGTATGAAATTGATTCTTTTTACTTATTATTCACGTATCATAAAACGAAATTTTACATTATTTGTAATATTGATCAACGATTTCTTGTTAACGACAGGTCCTAACAGCCCCACGGACTTAAGAGAGGGAGTGGTGTACCGTCCCTGTGCCCGGGCCTACCAGAGTGTATGGCTGCTCTTCAAGGGTTGTCACACTTCCACAAGCACCTCGTTCCCTCCAGCTGCACATTCTTCGGTGCTTCATGCTACAAATGGAATAACAGCAACGAAATTCATAAACACACCAACGTCATGAAGGCAACATCTACAGTAATATAGGTTTATGAAATATTAAAATCCTAAGGGCTATAAACTTCATTATGTTTTTCAAGTATCAAGGAACTCCCTAAATATGATTCTCCATTTTGTACATCCTACAGCATTTATTTGTTTGCTTGTGTTGGCCAAGCAGGTGGTGTTATATGTAGTGATTATTAGACAATAAAATAATAACAGTTTAATGCTAAAAAATATACTCTGCTGTACCGTTGTAGCGAAAAACATGGTGGAACTTACATACACCGTTAATGAACTATTGATGGAAGAAGAAGTTTTGGGGATTGAACAGTGAGACAATGTGGAGCCTCCCGGAGGATGGCGTCCTACTGTGGCCTCACGAATCGTTTCTGCTATATCTATCAGTCTAAATAAAACAAAGAAGTATGTCTGTTTGTGAGTGTGTTTGTTTGTGTGCGTGTCCGCACGAGAATCTCGGAAACTACTTTACCGATCTGTAGTGATGATGGATGGTGTTAGATGTAGTGATGATGGATGATGTTATATGTAGTGATGATTAGACAATAAAATAATAACAGTTTGATGCTAAAAAAATATACTCTGCTGTACCGTTGTAGTGAAAAACATCGTGGAATTTACATACACCGCCAATGAACTATTGATGGAAGAAGAAGTTTTGGGGACTGAACAGTGAGACAATGTGGGGCGTGCTCCGGGCGTCCTGCAAATTGCCTAATGATGATGCCCGGAGGCTGCTATTCTATAATAGTTGCTAATAAAATTAGAAAACCTGAAAAATTTGGGGTAAATATACGAAGATTTTGACAATGAATTGAAAATCAAGTTTCGCATTAACAGCCCATTGGAAGGTGAAGAATATCAAGAAAAAAAGGAAAAGTGTGGCTGGCAACAGCAAAATTAGTTCTTTGTGAAATACTCAATCTGATTGTGCAAAAATCCATGGATTGCAACATAGGGTTTATTAATTTCGGCTTTACGGGCGAAGCAACGGCTTTCTGGCAGTGTATTCATGCACTTTAACGTCAGCATCTATTCTCACAGTTGGATTGGCCAGATTCAACAATAAAAGAAATCATTGTGCTGGGTGGGATAATGGTCAGGATCGCGTCCGCTGAGTGGATACAGTACTCGCGGTGCTAGTTCTGTGACTGGCTGGGTTTCATTATCGATAATATTATCCCTTCTGTCCTGTTAGAATCGTCATACCTATGAACCACATTTCCTCTACCCAGCATGTGTTACCCAGGGGGACTGATAATGTTGACCATAAATAAGGCAACTTAAGCTATAGGACAATATTGGGTTTACTAATAGGTGGAATTAAGACTTACGATGAAAGAGATCGTCTGACAATTTCGAAATTAATACAAAATGCTGATGAAATAAGATCCTTCAACGAACTGCGTTGGTGCAGTAATCCGGAGCCTTATACTAACTTTATTGGCATTACTACGTCTGTTTTATTAAAATGACACCAGGTTTCATTGGGAAGAAAAAATGCATTATCGGTACTTGAAACACAGTTTTCTAATGATTTATTCTATAACTACATTTAATATTAGCGCTTTCAACGTAATTGGTTTGTATGACTGCCAATTCACATATCCCTTTTCTGGCTGAATATATATCTCAATGCGCCATTTAGACATATGTGTAAATGTAAATAAAATGTTTTTTTTACCGTGATATTACCTAGGATCACCAATTTAACAAAGAGGAAATAATCTTCATCAGTGCTTAAAATTTCGATTTAGTTTATCAAGTGACTCAAATAACATCATTAAAATAAGGGAGAAATTCCAAATACCATACATTAATTTGCATCCTCTGCTTTTCTGCCTAGGGGTGGCTCAACAGAAAGGTAATAATGTTCCCCTCATGATCTGTGAAAATTAGGTTGCCGTCATCACGTCTTGGTTGTAGCTTCAGAAAAAGAATCTTTGCTGCGGTGCCTTTTACCTTATAAATCTCTTCCTGCATCTACAACGCATAAAAATTAAACCGTTTTTGCAATGGCTGAAGCTGGAGCTAGAGATTTTCTGCCATGCAAATTTTCAGAAAAGGCCCACTTCAATATGAGGACTGAATTAGGCACGGTACCAACACCCTTTACCGTGGTTGGGCTTTCCAACCATCATTAACTTTTGATTCAACGCATGCATGGAAAGTCGGTCTCTCGCAATTTTGTTTAAATACAGTACTGACTAACAACGTTTTATGCAGTCTCCTAATTTAGCTACATCTTCGACAATCGCCCTTTTAAACAAGTGCTTTATATAGGATGGCAAAATTCAAATATCATTATCATTACTTGCCAAATCATCCTGAGATGGAATAGACGTCCAGCTGGAAACGATAGTTTGGGAAGATTATTGAGACGAAGTAGCTGAAGATTATTTGGTTGCATTACCATTTGTAGAAATGTTGGAAGCTTCCTGCTTAGATCATCAGGACTACAGCATACAGAACTGGGCATCTAATGACTTCATCTGGCACTGAAGCTTGACCTTGCCAGTCCGTGCAGCATCTTACTTCTATTCATCACATCTTCTTTCAATGACCTTCAGCGTCCCTGCACAAAGGAGTCAGACATTGCTACAATGATCCAAGCCATTCTGCTCAAATAGTCAATATCTCTTGTATTGTTTCGCAGAACAATTTATGCGATAAATCAATGGTTTCATTACTGTTTGAAAAGATGTATACAATACCAACATATTAATAAATCTGTATAGCCCTTTTTAGGTCTGTCTTACTACATCTACCGGTTTTGTGCATTGGCCAAAAATTTTTGACATGCCTCTTTGGTATCTTGAAATGGACCATCAAATTTAAATGGTTTCAGACTTTCAATTTAAGTTCCTACTTTGTAACAACATCCTTTTCTATTTCTACACAACACGACGGAAGCTTCAACTTGTTTTATGTTGTATAAATCATTTCCCAGCACGTGACAACTGCTAAAATCATTTTCTGTGCTTAAATGGAATATCCAGGTCAGCCAGTGTCCATTGCTAGACGGGTCATACAGCTTGTCGGTGAGTGTTTGTCTATACCTGCTGGCTTAATGTGGAGTGACTTGCAGGAGAAATAATGATCGACCCATTTAATACGTCAGCAACGTGTAATCTCCATATAGTACATTTGACATACTATTATTGAACGATATCTCTAAATTTGGATATTGGTTTCTCTCAACAAAGCCATTAGCCACTGTGGATGTGGTAGGCTGTGACAAACGACATAATTACATGGCAGCTACCCTAGAACATCTTTTCTGGCTGGTTCTTGAACTCTAATCCGTTACTCAGGAAAAAGAACTGGCAGGAGTAGTAAAAAGGACATATAAGATTCATCGCAAGGCATAAGCCACAGATAGCGGTTTTTGCATCATAAATTGGGACTAAAACCACAAATCTAGAAAATGATCCACACACACTAGGACAATACGAGGATCTGGCAGCTCCACTTGATTTGTAGCAGAATCTATCACTTGACTTTAACTAACCAAACAGGCATTACAATTATGAGATACTGTAGAATTGGAGCCGGTGACCTTAATGGTACACCCATATGCTGGGCACGCAGCCAAACCTTGGCAATGTGAAATTACCTTCTTTGATAAACTGTATTCCCCAATGTCTTTCTGATTCCATAGGGCATTTGTCACGTCCGTGGTCCTGGCGAGAACATCATGAATATTCTTTATAATCATTTTGCAACATGTCGATGCTGACGAATTTGATATGTGGCTCAATACATTTAGATTATCTGCGGGCGATGGGTATATTGTGTCGTAATTCAAACTGACTGAGCGGAAGGAGATTAACATGGAAGATTAGTTTCCTCCTCACTCTAAGGCAAGCAGCTTGCCAGACCACAATGGATCATCGTATTATCTCCCTAATTAAAGAAGAGTAGACATGGTACCAGAAACATGTAATTTATATTTCACCGTTGGCTTATGCGACCATTTTCGCTCTTCGGTAAAATGCGCCGAACTCTAGATTCCAGGTTCGCTTGAATAGTCGGATACAGCGTGTAATCTCACACGAGAAAATTTTTGCTACATAGAACAGTTCTTGCTGCGATCCGCCATAAATTCTTTATAACCAAAATTATATCTTTGGCTTCCTCAATGCACCAAACAACGGCTGACTGCTTCCTTCTAATGCCGTTAATTGAATAACGTCATTCAGCATATTAAGTTTGACTTGCGAAAACAGTGCTCTAATTTTCTCGCGTCCAAACAACCGATTCTTGTCCATGAGTGCAAATAAATTCTTGAGAATGGTCAGGAAATGCTAAAATATGATTAGTAAGTCACTGCCGTCAATACAAGAAACTATCTTCTTATTCAACATTCCATCACAAAAATTACATCAGCACCAATAGCTTGGTTAAAGGTGGCGCAATTTTCCTGGACGCAGCCAAAAGAACGATAACGCTCCAGACCAACAAAAGAAACCATCCTTAACGTTTGTAGGACGTGGGAACTGAGCAACAATATAACTTGCTCACCTTCTATTTAATGAAGAACTTTAGGTGAGGGGAAGATAAATTGAATATCGAATGTCTGGAGGCATAATTTCGTCGTCCGCTTTCTCAGGCGGACAGAATTAATATAGTGACATTCGCAACCAGGAGAAAAATGAGTACTGATTCAAAACAATTTTCATAGTTACCATTTCTTCCTATCAAGTGTTTTCTTATACCGGCACTGTGTTCTCTGGTCCTACGACGATATGTTTCTTATCCTTCTCTAATTCATGAAGACCAGCCAGAACATGGAGGAGTTAAGAAGGCGAATCGTCGCCTCACCCACACGATATAATGAGACTTCTCTTCTCTTCTTCTCGTGTAGATATAGTGGGCAACGTTGTTAACAAATAGACAAAACTCATTTTGAGCCTTACTAGACGGGCCTTAAACAGCGTCTACTCCCAATTATTTAATTGTATGTTGTTATGAGACCCGTTTGATCGACCACCCACGAGATCAGACATATGGCACACCAAAATTCATGAATTGATGACCAGGTTTCCTGTTATAGTTGAAAAAAAAAATGTTTGACAATTGTTAATACGTGCTGGCTAGAAATTATGTTTCTTGTGATGAGAGATGATGCTCATTTTTGGTATTATTGGGATTTAATATCCTTTATTAAATGGATTTGTGTCAAAGTTCACACACAAAGCTAAACCTCAGCCACTC